TATGTATGTATGTATGTATGTATGTATGTATGTATGTATGTATGTTGGTATGGCATGGTATGGTATGGTGTGTTGTGTTATGTTATGTTATGCATGCATGCAAGTAGTGTAATGTAATGTAATGTAATGGTCTCAATTGTCCGTGTCCCTTTCTTAGGGAGTGGGCACAAATAGAGAAGCATTCCTCAGATATGGTTTACGAAGATTCATTGGCACTGACAGGTGCAAATGGATGTTCTCAAGGCCAGATGAAGAAGAGTATGATCAGTACCGCGGGCAAGAAGATGGTGCTTGGTATGAAGATGATTATTTTTATGACGACCATGACTCTTATGCATATGACGATGTGACACAGCTCTACTCTGAGGTGGTCCCGGCACTTCCCATGGAATGCTCCGATCAGGCACCAGTGGCAAGATGCAATGCAAAGTTCCACTACATCATCACCAGCAAGAGGGCGTTTCAGTACACTTGTGCTGACGGAGTTGAGACCCTGCAGAGCACTCCGGAAGCTGTTCAGTTTCGTGCTCACCAGTGTGGGTATGACCTAATCCAGTGGGAAGCTGCAGTCATTTTGAAGGAGCCAGGACCACATCCATCATTGCAAATCCCAACCTGTGGGATCAAAGGCCAAGACGGACGAGCATCGCTTCAGTGTGGCGAGGTTCCAGATGGTGAGCTGTTACCAGGTGGGTGTTTACACATGCGGGAACCTGCTGTTTTCAAGTTTGAAGTCCACAAGGATGTTGATGTGGAGGGCAAACTTGTACTAGATCAATGGGAAACATGGTCGCAGCTGTACGTTGTGAAGTTCTTTGACAACGGCTGGTCTGCTATTCACAGCCCGAAGCTCAGTCCTTATGTCCACTCCAATGCACTGGTGCTCCATGCCAGGCCCAGGTACTTTGATTGGGGAGTTTCCCCCTTGCTAGTTTCACAAGGACATTTGTTTTGCAGGAACAACGTGTTCTCAGATGCAGAGTGTGGTGTGCTGCAAACGAGGCCTCGTCTTAAACTGCCCCTCCCAGCAACACTCACTTGTAGTCTTCCAACCATGTCCGGTCATGGCTGCCACAAACGAAACCCTTGGCGGCCGGAAGTGCGAGCACCCATCACATCGTCCTTTGCCCACACCAAAGACAACCACATGTTTGTCAACTTGAACGACGGAAAGTTTGCTGCAAGCAGCACAAGGCACCATGGCCACGGTCAAGAAACATGCGCAATCAAGCACAATGATTGAGCAGCGTTCCAAATTATCCTTTTACTTTCTTAGTAAGGGACCGGCGGACAATAAGTGAAAACAATTTAAACCGATGTTTGTGAGGTTTCCGTAAGGTTTGCCGTAAGGATGTGCAGCTTTGCGCAAGGCTACCACAAGTGGAACTGGTTTACTTTCATGACATGCAGCTGGGCCCAGAGATATTGAACAACGTACCACATGTAACCGCAGTGGACTTGCATACCTCGGCCGTAAGCCCAACGTAAGCATAACCTTTTGTACATGTGTCGCCGTAAGCAAAACATAGAAAAACGTAAGCCTTGCGCAACGCCAAAAGTAAGGTTGGATTGCTCGGAAAGAAACGACCACAAATTAAATTTGAACACAGCCCAATTGGAATCTCGGCCATGGTCAGAGTTGCGAGAATCTTCCGATTTTTATTAGCAGCCACGCTCCACGAGTGGGAAGTGTTGCCATCCTTTGATTCAATGAAGTTTGAAAAGACTTTGCTCAACACTGCACCCAGGTCACGATGAGACAGTATCATCCAACTGGAGCACCTCGTTTTGGTGGACTGACGGAAAGTACTTCTCTATGAATTTGCCTGGTTGGACAGGCTCATTGGAAGAGGGCGACTTTGTCGGCCAAAGAACGGAAGGGGGGCACATATCTTGGTCCCTCAGGCCAGTTCAGGCTCAGATCAGTTGCTTTACCCTCGTGGTGGGCTTCGACGTTCGAAGGCCGAGCTGCTCGGGCCAATGACATCAACATCGACGAGCTGGCTGGCTGCAAGCTGACGCACTATCAGAATGGCACTTGCTACCAGGTTGTTGTCAGCAGCACCGTGCATATCTTCCAGTCGGAGGAGGGTGCATGTCCAAGAGCATGGGGACGGATGGAGGATGCCATGGAGGATGCTGAGGATGAATTCTACAAATTTGCCTACTCTTCCTTTGGAACTCAGACATATGAAAATCCCACCACACACTTCGGCGAAGTTGCCTGCTCGCCCTTTGCTATGCGCCGGCAGCTCCAGCTTGAAATTCAAGAAGTGCACAACGGTACACTCTCAGGGGCGGTGGTGGTTGCCGACATGGAGACACCCTGCCGTAAAGTCCTTCGTTTCTAGGCAAAAGTGCAGGCCCGGGCAAATATTATACTATGTAGAACCAAGCAATGTCTGCTAAACCGTGTAGGCCCCTATGGCCCTATGGTCCTAGACACAGCCAGTGATCGCAAGTCAGCATCCAGGGCATCCTACATGAGGTCATCAGGTCATCTAATTTGTTGAGCAACTGCCAGAACCTTCAAAGTGACCTCTTTGGAGTCTGTAAGTGACCTCTTTATGGACTAAGTGACCTCAAACTGGGATCTCAAAAGATCACTTTGAAGGTCCTGGCGAGTCCTGTTTTTTCGTTTACTGTACTTGCTGGCAACGCAGGGGGCGCCGCTTTTTTTCCAGTTCTGAGGCTTCGTCATGGACGCCAGTCGTTTCCTCCTTTGTCAGCACATTATGGACGAGGAATGGGAGGCATTGCGTCCTGGCTGAAGCTGGCAAAAGGTTCCAAAGAAACAGAATCACTTCTTTTGCTCTTTGGAAAGTTGCGTTACAAAGGTCCTATCAGCAGATAAATATTGAACGTACGCCGTATGCCAGAAAAGAGGCCAAAATAATTTGCACCAGCTTTGGTTGTTCGATTCTTCTCAGGGTTTGCCGAACAAGCCTTGACCTGGATTTTTGTTCGTTCGTGCAGCACACAACAACATGAACGGCAATCCTCCAAACCTTCAAGAGGTCAGAGAGAAGAGGTCAGGTTTTTAAATTGCTGTTGGGCGTGTAGGGAAGTTACGAGGAGCAATTGCTAAGAAAATGGCGGGGTGTGTTGCTTCATTCATAGCACCCATCTTTGAAGACAACGGGGGGTTGTTGCTTTTCTGGCCGCTCTAAGGATGAATGAATGAGTGCAAGTCTGAAAAGAAAGCCTCCAGAGCTAGCAGCTAGCCTTGACCTAAGCGTTTGATGCAAATGAAAAAGAATTGTCACAAAAATTGCACGGACATTTCTAATGGGAAGTGACGTGATTTGGGTATTGTTAATTCTTTTTCCTCCTCGGTCACAGTTACCACAATCATCAATCATGCAGGTGTTTTCTTAAATACCCGTGGGTGGCCAAAGACTTTTGGCTAACAGAATCCACGCACTGCTGCTTTTCTGTGTGGGTGCATGCTGCTTTTAGATCATGACATTGCTTTTGTCAAGTTTGGCACTGATCTCACACAGGTTGGGTCTTCCATGTTTTCCAGACTTTCGAATTCTACAGTATATATATATATACTTTTTTCCCGTGGTTTGTAGCAGGTTTCGGGCCCTAAAGCAAACAGCAGCAAGCAAGCCATGTTCAAACATTGCTATTTGGATGTCCATGTCAGTGCCACGAGATGTGGGGCTAGCAGATTCACTGTGGGACAAGACATCATGGATCTTCTATCGCACTGATGCATTGCCGGTATAGTGCTGCTGCTTTTCCAGTCGTCGCTAGCCTAGGGATCAGAAACCTCACAAGGACATGCATTCACATTGCAACAATAGAATGTAGCCCTTCAAAAACTTGCAAAGGTCGTGTGAACTTTTGAGGCACCGTGCGAGTTGGCTCAAGCCTTTATTTGAGCTCACCGGTTAGCTCGCCGTGGTTTGCGTTTCAACGACCAAAGTGCCAGTCAATCTTTGTTGAGTGGTATACATTTGGGCCAAACATGGAGAAACGGTCCCACGCATTTGCTCATCGAACCTATTTAAGACTGCCTCCATCGGCACACTCTCTTGTGACATATCTCCAATCTCTTTGTTTTGGCACCTCCATGCACTACATATCTCCAATCTTTGGGCGCCTGACCAAAGGATGAGAGCCAGGCAGGCTGAGACACACCAAGCTTGGAGCCCATCAAGAGCCGACATCTATGTTGTTTTCTCCAGCAGGTTGAAACATCCAATCGGTTTTATGCAGAGCAAGGGTAAAATAAGTTTGGTGCGCTCCTGAATGTCAAGCGTTACAGTAATATGATAACCTTTGATGGCTTAGTATGGCTCAGTGAGTCTTTCTATCTGATTCAATCCAGATGTTGGCTTCAGTACCAGGCACATGCCAGAGGGCAGAGGACACCGTTTTCTTTGCATGTTGGCAGATTGCAGGTCTCATGTCCTTGTGTGGGTGGAAGCTCGCTTGGTGGCTGAGGGCTCCGTGGCCCGCGGAATGCAGCAGAGGGAGAGAGAGAGAGGCGTGAAGTTCATTGCCACAAATGATGTGATAAACGCACAGTGTTGAATAGATATAGAAGCAAAATCACACCGCTTTTGGTACCTAGATCAGTTGTGTTTGCACAGTGGGCCTTTGTTATTATTATTGACATTTGCAACAACAATAATTAAGATACACAAGTAAACACAAGTACAAATTGATGAGAATCCTCCCGGTCAGGACCAGCACGGCATGCACTTTGTCGTGTGTTTGTCTTTTTCAGGCCGGCACTGGCCAGGCTATCCACCTGAAATCAAGGACAACTGCTGAGAGTTGAGTCTTGTAGACTTGAGCTCCAACAGCTCTTCATAGCCCTTCCATGTTGTTCCATTCGCTTGCCTGCACAGAACACCTGGAAGTTTCAAGACGCATAATATCACAGACGACCTCATCAATCCTGTGGGCCACAGTGCCATGGTCAAGATCCCTGGGGATTGCTTCGCTGAGGTTGTCCTTTCGCCCGACTGCTTCAACCTTGCTGGGGCAGTCCGCGCTATCGATGACGCCACCGACTTGGACGTGCAAGATGCAGTTTGGATGCCAGGACATCAAGTAGAGGAGGGGTTTGATTGTGAATGAAATGACAGTTTTTGCTCGTCCAAGTGATGTGTTCTAAAAAGTTCTAACGACTATATATAAGGAGGTCTTTAAGCAAAAAAATCATGTTGCAATGTTACATGTTTTGATGTGTTTTGATTTTTCTGTCTCAGCCGCGGCCCGGCATGTCAGCTCCACAAAGTCATCACTGATCCCGGTCTGACTCAATTGCCAAGGGAACAAATTCCTCAGAGTCACACGTTCTGGGCTTGAGTCAAGTGCTGCAGTTGCTCCGACGGTCATTCCAACAAGTTAGAGTGGCTGATTCACATGAAAATACTAGCCAGTTCCTTGGATCCTATGATATATGCACACACGTATCGGCCCAAGAGGCGCATGCGTGTTTGGCTCAGATTCAAAAAAGCCACACGAGACGATGCTGGTGCTGTTTTTCTTTCGTTGTCCGTTGTCCAAACTGCTGCGTAGATCGTCCAAAATCCTCGAAACTGAAGTCGGGAGGGCCCACAGCGCAAGTGCAGGAAGACTGTTTGAGCACGTGGGGCGACACCTTCTTGGGACTAAAGCGCATCTTGTGGCACCTTGGATTTACGATGGCATGGGTCTGCTGTACCATGCTTCAAAGAGTCGGCCGGCGTTCACATATTTTCAACATACGCGCCACAAAGAAATACTGACTACTATTCGGGCAAGGGCCGGCAAAGTTTGATGCCGTGTCAACGCAAGTGAGGCGTTCGCGATGGACTGGACACTTTCCCAGTCCCCAGGGAATTTCGCTGCCTAGCATTGCCCCAGTTGGAGCAGAGTACAACCTGCCTTAGTGCTCGGAGACCAACTCTAAGGCCCTTGGACTGGGTATGGCTATGTTTGTCCGGAGTGCTGGCGGCCACTGGTCCATGAACCCACACGCTTATATAATTTGGCATCCAAAAGCCGTCAGGTGAGTTGGGAGGGTCCAGGTGTCAGGGAGATAGAGCAGATATGAGCAGATGATTTGCAAATCATAATTTTTGAATTGTGGAGTGGTCGTGTCCCACTTTTACCTTACAGTAGAATTGTCGCATTAGATTCACCCAAGATCTTCAGGCGAGTTGTAAAGGTTGAGTACCGCGAGGGGGAGTTCTTTTTTGGAGGAGGTGGAGGTCAAGCATGTTGATGGACCAATCAGATTGGATTGATGACAGAGGAGCTCTCATTCACCAAAACGAAAAAGTACAACACAAATCTCCCCTGGCTGCACTAAGTTTCAACGATCATCTTTTCCAGAGCCCCACCAGACATGGAAAAGTTATGTGGGTTTGCATTAAGCACACCGAGTGAGTTCCATAATAGTTCTATATGTAGCTGGTGAATGCTGGGGATTGGTCTGCGCGGAAGCCTTTAAAGTGCTGATAATCAAAAGCAAGGCTTGCAAAATTGGCGAGAATTATGACAACACGCATACTCACGCAGGCTTTTGACTGTGCAGAAGAAACTTCCAACTTGACTTAGCCGAGTTTTGTCAACAGGCTTGAAGTGTGTCGCTCGTCATTCACTCAGACCTAGCCAAAATGAATTGCTTTTTCACTGCTAAGCTAAGGTAAAGGAGTGGAGGGAGCGTCGCTCACTGTTTTCTCCACTGGAGGTAGTGGTCGGTGAAAGCATGCATGTCCTTTTTGACATCCCAGGTCGGCATTTTGCTGTGGATGCCCTCGGCGCTTCGCGTGGATGGCGTCGGCTCAGGCAAAGTGTCCAACTCTTTATGAGGATGCAACGTGATGCAATGTACACGGTTTTCTCACCAACTCTTGGTAGTAGGATGCAGATGGATTCAGTCATTTCATTCTGTTAGTGCTGGGAATTCCGAGAAATCTGGGTTTTGCAACCGCACCAAGCTGATCAACGCGTTTACTGTTTTTAAGTTTCAGCTTGCGACTTGTCTATCAATTTTGGTTGTTAGAGATGCAAAAGCAGAAGACCCCTGTAGGTTTGGTTCTTTCAGAAGGACCATCCAGTCGCTGTCCGAGCAGGTACTTACGGTCCACCTCTTTCTGTTGGTAGCGTATAGGATTGGTCTTCGCTGTGGGAATTCCGGTGGGGTGAAATGGTGTGCCCTGTGGCAGCGGTACTACCATGCCATACGCTTGGGGAGATGCCATACGCGCAGATGAACGCCACAGAATCATATTATGTAGTTTGGTTGAGGGTGCCTCTTTCCCAGTGCCAGCCGTATGGGTCCACTACCCAGTGCTGGGCCGTGAGGCTTTCAAGATGCCAACTTGAAGCCTTGTGCCTGGTACAGAGCGGTGGTCCAATCACTCACGAGCCATGCAGCTGGCATAGCTGCTCGGATACGCAGTTTGGGGGCCAAACTGGGGAGGTCCAGGTGTCATTGACTTGCCCCTATTGAGGTTTGTTTTTAAATTTGATCCAGGCAATTATGCAGATCCTCCAGAATCTTGATTTGGGGATATTTGGGGTGGTTTTGGGTGTCACGGGTCAGACCAATCTACAAGTGAAGAGGCACAATGACCATCTTGAACCTCAAGATGTCATGAACATCATGACCACCACTTGGCAGTGTCAGTGCGGTACTTCCCCATATTTATTGTTTAATACGTTCACCGACCCTGTCGCATGAGGTTGCCTTCTGCGGCTTTCAGTACTTGGTGGTCACCAAGATCTTGTGGCGTGGCGTGCTCGTTAGTGTTGGGAGCCATTCAGCCAGTGCAGAAGAGTTCTCGTCGTTCAAGTGAGCAGCGTCATTGAGTTTCATATTCCCAGTCGCAGCCACGGCAGAGCTGCCTAGGATGACGAGCGATCCCTGCGAGCCCTTCTCGCTCCCGAACATCTTGCTGTGCGTCACGTTGTTTCTCTCCACCATTGCCGTCTTTGCCAGTGGCCTGTGCCATGCCATTCCGGTGGGATGCGGTGGATAGATCGTCCCGGAAGGGTACGATATATTCTAATGTCCTGCGTCAAGAATCTGTGAGCAGTGAGTTTTTTTGTTTAATCCTTCATGGACAGTGCATGTCAGAATCGTCTAATGCGTCTCTAGTTACATCTATGATCATCTCTGCACACGCAAGGAGCAAAGCAACATTTCAAACAGGAATACTTTGGATGTGACTCATGCGCCAAGTCTTGAAGATCGTCCAGGCCCCAAAGCCTCCGTCCTGAGGTTCCTTTGTGTGGACTATTTGCGTCGCTTGGCCATTCTGACCGCTCAACAGAAGGGCTGCCGATTGACGCTGGAAGCCAGGGTCATGGAGAAGACAGGCTGGGCATGGCACGGTGTTGGACTCCGGAGGAATGTGAGGATCCTGTCTTAAGAGAACACCCAATCCGGCGAGATCTCAAGAAAATAGTTGACCCAAGCCTTTTACATGCGGATGTCTTCAATTCAATTGGAGCCTGGTGCATTTCTGGAGTTCAACCTGTTCTTAGCAGATTGCCTCCCAAATCCATGAGCTTAGCCTGATCTTGGAGCCATTTGCTAGGGCTCGGCCGCGCGATCCTGGTGCTAACGGGCTTGATGACGCTTCTCTACTTTCTCGAAATCTCACGGGAGGCTTACTATGATACTTGTCCAAACTGGCCGCAGAATCAAAGGTTGAGCCTGCAAGAATAGATGGGACATGAATTCGAAGGTATTCACTCAAGAGAGGTCATCCATGGTCATCCAAAATTGGGAAGACTCAACAGATTCCCAACCACGTTGGCCAAATTTGGCCAGTCCGAGCGCAAAGTCAGCTACTGAGCCGACTGATAGCGAATCACAGATTGCTGACCGACTGGCCTCTGGGCCACAAGAATGCCAATACGAGAAACTGTCCGTGATCTTATTTGTAAACGACAGCATGAGATTCAACATCCAACCTCAGGTGCAAAAGAGGCAGGCTGGGCATTGACAATGAGCATTCTCGAACATTTTGCTGGCCGTTGCGCAGCTTAGGATGAAAAAGATGATGTCCTTTGGTATTTGGGGGTTCTCCTTCAATCTGCCGGGGATCTCAGTCATATGTGCCACATGATGCCGGCTTTCTGGTGCGCGTGCATATGCCTCGTCTCAAGGGGTCGGTCGGTCTCTCTGTCGCGCGTCGCGCAGGCTGGAGGCTGTGGCACCGTGGCGTTGTCCTACACCAACCTACGCGCCTTGCACCGATCACCTAAGGTGCCGTATGACAGCGCTTGCCGTCGGGCACGGCAGGCCGGCAGTGAGACAAACGACCGGGAACAAACGCGGGGAAGACGGTGAGAATGAAAAGTGGTCCCTAAATGGATAGAAAATTTCGGCTTCCAAATGCTTCCAAGACATGTTGAAAGGGGTTTTGCATTTTCTATCTATTTGGGAGGTCTAGCCGATTTTTCCATTGTCATGGAAATTCTCATAAGGTAGGATCGATCAGGTTTGATTGAATTGGTTGAAGTGGTTTGCCGTTTGAGATCTCTTGTTTCGCAACACCTTTCCTTTAAGATTCCAACAGTCTTCCCAAGGAGTGTGAGAAACTACTACTGTATATATCTGTATATACCCTACCCATGTTTCATGTTCCGCTGATGTGAGCGGTTGAAAGCTATTTGAAAGCTGTGTCCAGGGCAGCCTGCTCATGGCAAGTAAGACATCCGGACACTGCAGTCATGCGTGCTGCCAGGATAAGACCCTTGAAGAGTTCTTGCAGGAGCAGTCGGGCCAGACGGCCTCATGGTTGCCAGCTTGGGTGGTGAAGGGCTTGCAGAGCTTTGGTGGAGAAGCTTGACTTGCAAGGCCCCAGCAAGACCCACATCCCAGGCCTTGGAACTTTGTTTTTGTTGAAGTTTAAGGTGGTTGACAATGCAGAGCCGTCAAGACATGGCAAACGCTCCACCGCGGTCTCCACCGGGTTGAGCCCATGGGAAGCCGCCCCGTCCTGACCGGTACGAACACACCACTAAACGTCTCCACCGCTGAGCTGAGGACGATTTGGCCTTGGTGGCGGCGCATGGAAGTCGTCAGGCATTCTTTCCCCAAGAGCGCTTCCTGCCGCTGCTGCACGTCCTGGCCGCATTGCTTTTGATCGGGTGTTTTCCTTTGGGTGTTTACGTGGTCATGGGGCAGCTCTTTGTGGCGCCAAGGCTCAATGACTTGACCCTTGGATTGGGATGAAAGGGAAAGCATCTTGAAGCATGCCAAAGGTCAGTTGACGAGAAGATGGAAAGAAGAAACGTTCCCTTTGGTTGGGTTAATGCATTGCATGTGCATGCCGTTCGTTGGCATGCGGGTTGTTAGCTGAGGTTGGCTAGAATAGTTCCCTTGCATGTGCGACCGGAAAGGCGGATGCGGATTCTACCGTTTACTTCTGATACACCCGAAGGAGTAACCGAAGGCTATAGCATCCTTCTCAAATGCAAGCTCAAAGAGGTGCTTCTTGTTCCAATTCTAGTTAAAATTCCAATTAAATTCATTCTAATTCTAATTATTGTTTCTAATAACTTCTTGCTCCTAGTAGCGATCCCAGGAGCCCCTAGTAGCGTCCTTGTTCCTAGTAGCGATGCCCTTTGTTATGCAAGCTCAAAGAGGTGCTTCTGGCAAGATTGTGTTCCTCCATAGGCCATAGGCATTTTGTCACGGGTCGTGGTTGATTGTCTTCGTTGATGCGAACCTATAGGTCCAAGTCCATAGTGAGATAGATATGCAAGGGGTTGACATCCTTACGTTCAAGGTGTTTCTTAGGGAACCTCAAATCTATCACCAGACAATCGTCTTTCAAGGTGCCATTCTACCCCTTTCTAAGGCGTCCAGTGATGCTTTGACCATAGGAATCCCTCAGACAATTGCGGGAATTGTATGAGTCACTTACAATGGGATGGTTCGCATCTCCACGTTTCACGCACCTGACCACGCCGCATCAGCAGCTGGACGCGCGTCGGCCCACGTCTCCAGGAAAGGCTTGACTGGAAGCTTGACCGAAGTGTCGTACTTTGACCAAAGTGATGCATCAGGATGGCAGCTCTTAGGATGCTTGGGCGAGATGGAAAAAACCCATTTGCACCGTTTTTTTTCCTCCCGTTTGGTGCCTTTTGTGCCTTCTGTGCCTTCAGTTTCGAGTGTGATTGATTGAAATAGATGACCAGAAGCATTTGGATATTATTCAGGCTCGATCATCGAAGATCCGTATAGACCACATGTTGGATACTTTCTGGCCGCTAACCGCTAACCGCTTCCCACCCACTGAGGTCCCCCAGCCTTGAAAGGCTTGGCAAACCAATCCCAATGAATTCATCGATGGGTCCAGTAGAATTCATCAAGGAGCCATTGAACCATGATGGGTCCAGAAAATCCTTGAACCATTATGGAATTCCCTTCCATGATGGGTCCAGAAAATGCCACGCGAACCCGATGCCTTGAACCACGGGAAAGCGGTCGTTCTTCGTGCTGAGGAAGTTCCAACAGCTCCGGTGGCAGTGTGGTACGACAGTTCGTGTTGCTCATGGATGCCAACACGGAGAAGATCCAAGTGACGCCGCAGTACCAACGTGTCTCGAGACTCTGACTTCATATGGGGATGGGTCAAACAAACAAAACACCTTCATAATCCCTGTTAGGTTGACCTTCCAGGTGTTTGCCATTCCTGACTGAGAATACCAAAGCCGGGTCTTGTTTGGACAGGTGACCAGACCTGCTATTCCACTTGCACCCAGGAGCCTCAGGCTGTGCTGCGGCAGCTGCAGCACGCAAAAGTTGAACCACTCGCTGGTGAAATTTCACGACAAGCCTGTGCAGTTCGATGTGAAAAGGGGCACCTCAAAGACGTGCACTCTGAGTTTGTTGGGCCTCAGCAGTGGTGTGATGACGAATGTGTCCTTCTATTTGGCGCCCAAGAAGGATCTTCACCTCTGCGACTGCCAGGGAAGAGTGTGCAAATGCTGCGAGGGGTATCGAGGTGAATGGGATACTCGGATTTTTTAGTGTGTGTTTAGCTGCTCATACTTGCCACACACATTGGCTGAATCTTATACCGAACTACATACTAAATCTAAATCATACTGAGAGCTTGATGTTTGGATTTGTTTGCCAATTGAAGCTACATGTGGGCCCAAACAAGGACTTCCGTGAGTGGAACGACACCACATTTGCAAAATTGGACGGCAAACTATGTGTTGGCGCGCCATGTGTGGGAGAGAAGCTGAATGGACTACCTGGCCCTGAGTGCCAGTGCAAAGACAGCTACTTCGGCCAACCCAAGCTGATCGGACATGCCTATACCGATGCTGGTTGCAATGCAGCCCCATGCAACCTGGCCAACTCCAATCAGTTGCCCGGTACAAGGTGCGCTTGTGCCAGTGGATTTGTCGGCAATATCAGCTGGAACGGGGCAACTCCCAGTGGATATTGCAGCCCGGCAGAGTGCCGAGTCGTGAACTCCACCCAGGCACCAGGGCACCAATGCCGATGCTCGAATGGCTTCAATGGCAGCATCACCTGGGATGGCCCTGAAGCAACTGGAAACTGTACAGCGGCACGCTGTGATGTGCCGCATTCCAACAAAGAGCCCGGGCTGAGTTGCGAATGCGGAGACAAGTATGTCGCTTGAGATGTGCATGGCACAAAATGGATTTTGTGTGCCAAACTCTTTTTGGAACCATTTGTAATAGACTGACGCTGCAAAGATATGCACACTTCAGTTCAACTAGAGGTGAGATGACATGTTATCGAATTGCATCATGGTTCTGTGTGGAAACTAGAATCAGCCAGATGACATTTTGTAAGAATATTACTTCCATGTTTGATGGTTCCTCCGGGCTTCCAAAAAAGCCAAGTCAAAGAACATCAAAAAACACTTGGCAGTTGGTGTTTTCGAAGGTTGGTCAAATCTCCTGGAGTGGTTCTACAGCTTTGGGCACTTGTGAGCCAGCACCATGCAGAGGACAGAAGTTGAACTCGTTGCCAGGCCCAGATTGCCAATGCACTGATGGTTACACAGGCCAGTCGAGTGTTTCGACAGTCTATGTGCCAAATGCACCCCAAGACCTTCCGTTGGGGGGTCCTACGTCATCTTTATGAAGCAACCAGTGAAGCAACTGCTTTCCACAAAAGGTGACGGCATGGCGGCATGGAGTGATGGATAGCAATATTAGACCGTATATAGAAGAATACCGCCCACAGGTAACACGTAAGTTTGAAGATGTTTGTTTGGAGTGTTTGCGGGGCTTTGTATTTCGTTGCGCTTAGTTTGACCAATTCAACCAGGCCAGCCCACCAAGCACGGAGATAGCTTGATGGATGATGGCTGCGAGGCTGCTCCCTGCAACATCCCAAACACCACTGGGGACGGCCCACACTGCAGATGCAAGGATGGCTTCCAAGGGGAGATCAACTGGGAGGGTGTTGTCCCCACTGGCCATTGCAAGCCTGCACCTTGCAAGGTCTTGAACTCCAACCAGATGCCAGGACTTGAGTGTGCATGCCTGCGGGGCACTGTGGGCAACATTTCATGGGATCGGATGAGGGCGTTTGGACCTTGTAAGAACATCAAGTGCAGCGGAGCATATATGAATGGCGTGGAGGGCCCTGATTGCCGTTGTGCAGATGGCTACTACGGAAATTTGTTTCCCTCCGCCCTTTACATTGACCCGGAGGGCAAGGAGTTTGGCCCACATGAATGGAAAGGAGCTTGTACCCCTGCCAGATGCACTGTTGAGAACAGTAACGGCGTGCCAGGCCTGCTGTGTCAATGCCGTAGTGGCTATGCTGGCGACATTTTTTGGAATGGCTCGGTTTCACAAGGTAATTGCACTCCGGCACTTTGCTCCATCCCAAATTCCAACAAGGAGAAGGGCTTAGACTGTAAATGTACGAGTGGCTACATTGGCCACATCACCTGGAGCGGTCGTGTGCCGTCCGGGACTTGTCGAGCGGCACCATGCCGCGTTCCCCAGTCGGACTTTGCTGCAGGGCCCCAGTGCCGGTGCTTGCCGGGTTTCTATGGTCAGATCAGCTGGGAGGAGGAAGCTGCAAAAGGAGAATGCCTTCCCTTGCCACAATGTTCCTCCAAGTTGATCCACACAACCTGGCTGAAGACACAGCTTGAGGATTTGGAGGGGCATTTGTGCGATGCTGGGCAGCGGCTGGTCTTCCATGGGCGCCAGTGCGCGGAAGAGGCGCACAAGATCCAATGGACGCTTGTGGAATCTCAGCCAGATGGCAGGCACTGCATGGAGTTCGTTCAAATCTTTTTGATTCTGATCATGACAGATGTAGGGATATGTTTGTCAAATTCCTTTGTTGCCGTATCAAGTTTGAGAGGAGCCTTTTGGGCACCTCCCTGAGCAGGTGCAGATGGAAGTTATCAGGCAAAGAGGGGCATGCGTGTGGTTTGGATCATTCGAACGACAAAATTCACCAACTCTTCTCCAGTGTGGCTCCAGCACCACCGCTGGAATGCTCAATCCAAGTGGCTCTACCTCGGTGTGACTTACAGTTCCAGTATGCCATCACCAGCCACAAAGCATCCAGTTATGCCTGCAGAGGAGAGGTGGGCAACATGTCGCCGGCGCCTCCGCAAGCTCCGCAGGCCCTTCAGTTCCGAGGTCGCTTGTGCAGCTATGACCTCATCCAGTGGGAGAAGGTGAGCATTTGGAAGCACAGCGGGGAGAATCAGTCACTGGCATTGGAGGCTTGTGAGCTCAAAGGCTCTCATGATGCACCACTGTCATGTGGTGAGATTCCTCATGGTGAACATCTACCTCATGGGTGTTTGCATCTCCAGGAGCCCGCAGTGTTCACCTTGCAGCACTCAGATTTCTCATATTCCATGAAGCTCTTTGAGAGTGGCATGTCCATCGTTCGTCACAGCCTTAAGTTCAAAACAACAGCAATGCCGTGCCTCTGAGTGGCCAACGTGTTTAGCTCGATGATAGTTTGCTTCCGACGTGTCAATTGCCCGACGGAAAGCTGTGCCCCTGAGTCAAGCACTTGAGAGAAAAGCACATCCAAGACTTCTTGCATGCACGCGGCAGCTAATGTAGCAAGTTGCGAGGCATGTGGACAAAGATGGGCAAATCCCAAGGGAGTAATTACAACGAAGCAGAGCCATGCTGGCATGTTGCATATCATATCAGGGGTGAGGGTAAGCAAAGCACAGAGGAGAAATGGCTTTCCTTGCGCCCGCCAGCGTGCTAAACACGACCAATGTGCTACAGTAAATTGATAACATTCTGTGGCAAGTGAGGAGGAAGTCTAAAGTTTCCTTCCAAGATCTTCCAAGGAAAGGGTATGTTGAATGGACACGATCTTGATCTTTAGAAAGAAACAGTTTGCCAATTTTGATGAGGCGATGCTTTCCACCATCGCTTGTGCTGCAACATCGTTGGCGTTGGCCTGCGCAAAACAACATGGAACAACCACCTGGACCCACCTTGAATGCTAGCACCTTGCTGCTGCAAACTGCAGACCAAGGTAAGCACATCATGTAAACATACAGAAGCAGTTTTTGCAATTTGCCAAGCTTGAAAGTCACAAATGTGGCTGAACCTTCGCAACTTTGAGGAGATCGGGGGGAGTATTGGGGGGGCTATAGCGGGTAGTAGTGCGGGTAGTATATAGTGAAGTAGACGCAGCTTGTTTGACGCCCTGGTGCACGCATATACCGTCACAATCCGTCACAAACACATCGCAGAGAATGACAGACATATAGGCCATTACAAGTGCCATTGCACAATTGCGCTATCAGCTTGCACGTACGGTGCTCATATGTGCCCATTGAGCATAGATGGTAAAGTGTCCTGCAACTGGTCAAAAATGCCGAAAAGGACTGAACTTCTAGTTTTGAGTCAGTGTCTCAATGCGCTCACGGCACATTGAGTTAGGCGCTCAGCCTATCTCGAGATTCCACTGCGTAGGCTATGTCACGTGGAGTGGAGACTGTGTACAAATTTTGTTTTTCGCTAGACGCAGCCGGCGTTGTGTTAAAGGTCGCCTTGGGCATGAAGGGGCTGGAAGAAGCTCGTACGGGACACATGGCTGGTACACAGATGGAAATCACCTGAGTCTTCGGATGCCGGCCATGTTCGAAGATGGTGCTGAGTTTTTCTTGGTAGCAGATGGGGATGATGGATCCGAGTTCATGTCACCTGATGAAGAGTTGGAGTTGAAACTTCTGACCTCCCATACCTTACCTCTTTGGTGGACTTCAGCCTTACAAGCGGATGCATCCTCCGAACGTGCCGCGCACCAGATCGATTCGCTATGGCAATGTGAGCTGTCCCACTATGAGAGGGGAACGTGCTACCATGCCAAGATTGGCCGTGGGGTCATGATTTGGAACACCTCCGAAAGCATGTGCCAGGGTGATTTTGACCATGTCGGTCAGGATGTCAAGGACAAGGGGTCCTACTACACGTTTGCTCGTTCTGGTCATGGGACCCAGACCTACGCAAACACCCAGGAGTGCTTACCATTTGCTCGGCGGCGGGAGCTCCAGGTGGAAATCGGAGAGCTGCATGGTGATGCACAGCCTGGTGCATTGGCACTAGCCAACATGGAAACCCCCTGCCGCATAACTTTGCGTGTCCTGGCTTGGCTTACTGGTTTTCCATGTTTTGTTTCCCATGTATATAATTAATATTGGCTTGGCTTGTTCTTGGATCCTGTTTTCAGTTCCAGAGTTAGGATCCTGACTCCGAGTACATGAGGTGAGTAAACAAAACTGTTTGAAAGATTGATTGGATACAAGGGAAACATATGGAAACTTATGTTGTTGCCACTCGGTTTTCGGAAGCATTTGCATATTTGTTCTGATTCCACTTCATGTTGGGAGACTCTGGTGACTCTTCGTTGATTGAGGCTTCGTGTCGAATGCTGCAGTTCTTGCCAAGTGTAAGGAGAAGGCGGATGCAGAGTGGGATGTGCATACTGAGGATGAGCCTCTTGGCTGAGTTGCTACCGGGAGCTGGGAGCTGCTGGGGGGGCACTAGCTGTGGGTTGATGCCAAAAAGCTTAAGAAAGATGCCCTCCCGTTAGTTCTTGGGGCCAGAGAACTCACATGTTGGGCCCTCACATGCTTGTTGAAGGGCAATTGGCCAATGTTCATGTTGTGCAGGTGCTGAGCCAACAAGGCTCTACGTCGCTACGTGGAAGCGCTTGCGCATGTTTGTCAATTCCGCCTGTAGAGGATTGGTTTTGTGGTGACCTCGCGAGGGTGCGACCGTGGTCGAGTCACAGGACCCTTCCATCTCCATGGCACTGCATATGGCCGTTGCAGTTTCTTGTGTTTTCCTGTTATTTTTGGATGAAATGTGAAGGATGGGGTCTTTGAAGTACTGGTGCAGGGGGGCGCTGGAGGCCTCACATCTCTCAAACAAAGCTGCCAGAGGAGGGCTTGCCTTCCAATTAACAAGGCTTTGGTTCGCCACTGAAGTTCACTGAAGCTCACCATCAAAGAGCGCCCTCTTTGTTTTCAGGTCCATCAATCAAATCGAGAGCATGTTCGACTTCGATGATGATGAGGAGGAGGAAGAGGACTGAGACTAGCTATAGGACCAGCTGGCCAGTTTGCACCGGCCAGCTGGACTGGACTTATGTTGTTTAGTTTATATAGTGTTCGAGCTGAATCAGATGCAAGTCATCGGCTTGGGATCAAGGTCGGGCACAAAAAACTAGGCAGCAAGGATTCTTTGAGTCATTTGTTCCGAGCGTTGCTGGTTGCTGGCCAGTGGTCACTTGGTTTCACCCAGCTGGAGCTGTTTGCGTGTTGTTCTGGATGCTGACTTGCAGGGAAAGTCGATGGCCAGGCTCGAGGCACCCCATCCAACCAAGAGAAGCACTATCGATTCAGTGGAATTGGTGTCGGTTTCCACGTTTTGGCGAGGCACGTTTCCAGTTTTCAGACGCTCTGTGACATGGCGTCCCGGTGGCTTAGGTATGCTTAGGTATTGCCCAGTGGAACTCCAAACTTCAAGACCCCCAGACTCCACGAGGGGTGTAGATGATCGATTATGGCAACTGAAACTCTTTTCAGAGAGGTCAAATGTCCAAGTGCACCCATATGTTCGAACAGGTCTCAGCTTTGGCGAACTTCCTCACAATTCTTCAAGGTATATGTTTAATGGCCGGCCTTTTAGCACCAAAGCATGGTCCGTAGTCTTGGAGTGACAGGGCACGAAAGGAAGCAGCTCCGGCACGAAAGGCCCAGAGGCCTGCGACATCCTGCTACTTACAGTCCAGTGCCAGAAAACAAAACAATGGGGAGAGATATGGAGAGATGGTTTGTGCACAAATACTTATGGATGCCCCACAAGCTTGTAGAATGCATGGGTTGACATCGAATAAGTACCTCCCACGTCATGAAATTGGTATAAATTGGCCAATTGTCATTGCCCAGTGGCATGGAACTGTTCCAGCTGAGGAGGTGAGTGTGTGCTTATGCATTTCCATGCTACCACTGGCATCAGCTGAATTCATGTTGACGCACCCTTGGAGTTGGCTCAAGCTGAGAGCCATTGCCAAAAACAGCCGTGGTTTGCCTGGAAAACATGGTGCCCCAAGCCGCAAGCTGTTAAGCAGTGACAGGTAGCATTCATGAACAATAGTGCAGCTTTGTCTCAGCGTATAGTTGTATCAACCTCATTCCCACAAAAGCTCGTGAGCTACACCCTAGTGGTCCCACGACGTTTTTTTTCATTGGGCACTTGCTCATGTTTTCATATGTCCAGGCAGGGGTCACGGCTTTCATCCATTTGCAACGTTTTTCGTGCAAACTAGCGGAGTGAACCAGAGCATACGGTACGAAGTCATGTTGATTGGGATGGTGCGGCCAGATCATTCATATCATCCGGCTCGTGGTTAGGAGGGAGCTAAGGAGCCAGGGGTATCCATATTCCCCGTGAAATTGACACAGGGAACTATTTGGAGCGAAACCGGGAGCCCCCTCCTATATAAGACATTGCTCGTCATTTCATAGTTGAAGCAGCCCGGCACTGGCACTGGCACTATGAACAAGCCAAACCAAACTAGATCCTCTACAGCTCTAGCCTGCGAGGCTGCGCGGGCTGCGCGTCCGATATGAAGGTGTCGGTGTCTATCATCGTGTCTTGGCTTCAGATAGATAGAGGTGAGAATGCATGTGACTAGGTGTACCAGATGATTCTGCGATTCTGGATGTTCTGGGTTTCTTTGCTCCCAGGGCTGAGGTTGCCAGGGTGGTTGCCATGTTGAAGACCTGAAAACTTTCTCAATATGTTGCGATACTTGAGAATGATGCAGATGGGTGACCTCAAGATATTGCAATACACGTTCGTTTGGCGGTCTATAACTTGATCTCTCTCCCTCTCTCCCTCTCTCGCTCGCTCTCTCTGTGTGCTTTATGTTTGCTTTAGATGAGCCAGAGTATCGATGCATTACTCCAGGTCAAATGCAACGAGCCAGCTCTGAACATGCTTGGGACATAGAGATTCTCCAGTGGCCGAGGTGCTGCTCTTGCACATCAGGCTGACTAGTGGCGCACGGGCCTTTGATCACGACCTGGACCCGCCCAACACCATAGCCCAGCCGAACCAGCCAAACGAGCCAAACGCGTCGAACGAGCCCAACCAGCAGGAGGAGGACGGGCAGGCGTCGTGAGCCAAACCGATGACCCGTTTTTTTGTTCGCGATATATTTCTCGTGGCAACACATCAAGGCGAACTTCAGCACTATGTCTTGGTGCTGTGTTTCGGCACAATGTTGCCATGTGAGATTATAGACAACAGACTTGGTGAATACGGTAATCCTCTACTTTGGTGGGCATTTCTGCATGGGAGCGCTTGCACACGTGTCTTCTAGTGCCATCATGTGCCATCCATAGACCCGCAACATAATTACATAATATAACTATTTGATATTGTTTGACCTTTCAATCATTGTAACTTCATGTGCTTTGAGGCTAGCACCCCGCCCATTGGCCTGTGGCTTCTCTCAAGGTTGTCTCCAAAGACGCCTTGCTCGGAACGAGACGGTCTCGTGGATGTGGTCACCTGGTCACTCCGTGCTCGAATGAGTCCTTTTCATTGGAGGATTTGTACTGCAGCACCTGGGGCGACACCTTCCAGGCTGTTGAAATTCACCTCATCCCCATGGACCCCGTAGCGTTGGCTCTCAAGGTAGAGCAAAAGGTAGCGCTTACCGGACTAGCAGGGTTAGCTAGGTAGTTAGTACTATTAGAGCTGATCCTGTAAAATACAGGTTATCAGCCGTAGGCTAGCTAGATTAGAGCTATGGACCCGATGGATGACGACGTCCCACCAAACTCCTACGGAAGTGGCTTTGACATAGTTCCGAGTGTGCCCAATAGTTTGGATGCAGTTCAACGGCATGAACAAGCGGTTGCACAAGTGGCTGCAATGGATCCAAGGGTTGCTTCGGAGGTGTACCAAGAGATGCTAAATAGTGGTGGTAGTGTTACTCTTCAAGAGGCGACACAAGCTACCCTAGCAGGTATGCCGTCAGCCACCGTAGCTGGTGCGCCAACAGTAAACAACTTGTTGGCAATGACTCGGCTCAACGTCGTCAACCTGAATGCAACGCCAAACGACGAAGAACTACGACGGGAGTTACAACAACATGAGTTTTTGCTCAGCGAACAAGCCAGGAGGGAAGCTGAAATCGAGGCATTGCGCTTCAGGAGTATTTACGAAAGAGAAGCTTCTGAATCTATAGCGGCAACAAAGGCTGCCGCAGAGCAGGCAATGTTGAATGTTCAACAAAGGGCCCAACAGCAGGAACAAAGTGTTCAGCAAATGGTCCAACAGCAAGACAATGTTGCAATCAAACGGTTGCAAGGTACATTGGAGGAGCAAAGGGAACATTTTCAGCAGCGGCTAGCTCAGGCGACAGCAGCTCATGAGAAAGTTGTACAGGAAAAGAATGCCATGGCGGAAGAAGGCAATGCTTTTGTTGACAAAATGAGAACTGAACATCACCAGTATGTTGAGCAACAGGAGGCTAAGCTGAAGGCAGCTCTAGAGGCAAAGGATCAGGCAAGACATTCGTCTGCTGAAGAATCCCGGATCGCCATAGAGCTTGACTTCAAGCGAGAACAACTGGACAGTTCGTTAGCAATTGCACAGGCAAAGATCAAAACTCTTGTCAATGAGATGGAGACAACAAATAAGCAATATAAGGTTGATCGGGAAACGCAAGAGCAAACTATAGTTGAGCTTCGCAAGGACAATGCAATGTTGAAGGGTGAAATGGACGAGCTCAGACGTGTTGTACAGTCCTTGACAGACAGGGAAGAGGAACGCAAGGAAGCGGAGCGCAAGGCGCAATCCTCTAGCCCCGTTAAGCCAGGGCCGCAATATCCTGAGCCACTTACACCTTCTGCTCGACAAGACGCTCACCCAATTGGTCAACCGCGATCTTTTGAACCTCTACGCACGGAAGGCACTGTTCCAGCAACCTTAGACGGTAAGCCTCGTGAGGAAGGCGGATCCCCTATAAAGACGGCTATGGATGCAACAGCGTCCACGCGCAACACTGGATTCCCATCAATGTTCTCAGGGACAGGGGCGCCCGCAACGGAACAGGCAACGGCCTCTACGGACAGGCAACAATTCAAACAACCGGATCCGTGGACGGAGTACATGAAGAAGTCAGCACAATATAACTTCAGTGATGATCCTTTGTACAAAAGCTCCTTTAATCAGGAAGCAACAAAGACTAAGGATGATCGCAAGGACGAAGGGCCGGCTTCCCAGGTAAGAACTCCACAAGACCAAGATTTGGGGGAAATCATCAAGAAGGCCTTGCTAGAAGGGTTTAAGGGCGCTAAGAGCAAAGACTCTGACAAACCCAAGGCAAAGGAGGCTGATAAGATAGATCTTCCCGAATTCCCAAGTCCTGATAGGTACCGCACTTGGAGGGCCGCTGTTCGCGAAGCGATACGGTCCGCGTCCGATGACCCAGACGCTGCGTTCGCATGGGTGCTTGAGGTGTACGCTGTTCGTGAAGACAAAGCCAAGCTTTGTTCCGAATTGGCTGACCCAGGCAAGTTTCGGACCTTAGACACGAAACTACTTGCTGCTTTAACTAAGGTTGCCAAAGGTGAACTGTCTCAGCAGATCCTTAATTATAAGGAATCTGAGGCACAGCAAGGTAGGATCGTCCGTGGTCGTCAGGTGTTGCTCATGTTTGAAGTCCACTTCAAGACCAGTGAAGAAGCGGGTGCACTGTATGGCACTGAGGACCTCCTCAAGATCTCGCTTGATAGCGACGACTTGAAATCCTTTCTAAGAAAATGGGAGAGTGTTCTGACCGGAATGAGTCATGTCCCAGACCCGGCAACTCTCAAGGATTTGTTTTATAGAGAGGTTAGGAAGTCCCGCAAGCTCAGATTTGACCTTGATGTTTATGAACGAGCGCCGGAGGGAAGTAACGACAGAAGCTATGAATTTCTTATCAATTCTGTTCGACGTTACCTTGACAGGGAAAGGCTCAGGACCAATCGCGAAAAGATATCACAATCACACGCGGCAAAGTTCGCAAACCCGGCACCGCACGACAAGCGCACGCGAAGCCCAAGTTATGGCAAACGAAGCACAAAGGGTGACGGAAGCAATCAATGCTATGAGTATGCCAAAACTGGTAAGTGTAAGTACGGGAGCAAATGCAAGTACTCACACGACTCTAGCGCCCGTCCCCGCTCCCTTAGTCGGGAGTCGTCTCGTTCGCGTAGCGCAAGTCCGAGCAGCCGTTCATCGTTCAGGTCAAGCCGATCTCGAAGTTCGTCAAGACACACTTCCCGCTCCAGTTCAAGGAACTCATCAAGAAGCTCCAGTAGAGGGAGGAAATCTGACAAGCCATGCAGGTTCTTTGCAAAGGGTAACTGCAAAAGGGGTGACAAATGCCCGTTTAAACACGGAGACACTGCAACACCAGCCCCGCGCAGAAGGAGTCCCTCGCCCGCAGCTAAAAGGTCTAAGGACAAGAAATCCAAGAAGGACAAAAAGGACAAAAAGAGCAAACGGGAAAAGAAGGACAAAAGTCCAAAGGCCAGTCCATGTATTCAAACAGGTTTCGCAATGTCTTGCTTAGCAGCAACCGCAATTCGGACCCAAAAGAGTAAAGACTACTGGGAATTCTCCAAAGATGGCAATGAGTTGATTAGGCACCATTTGAAGCCTAGGCACAGGTCGTTTCTCCCAACACGTAAATCCTGTCCAGTTGAGTCATCTAGGTTGGAAGACCAGTTTACCATGGTAGTCACTGACTCAAAGGGAAAGAGTAGGACAATCAAGGGTAATTGGAAGAAACACCCAAACGCGAAACAGAAATTTGATTGGACTGGAAAGTCAATTTTCCGTGTTGCGCAAGAGAAGAGAATTCGTTTTGAATTAGAACCGGAGGTACACACCTTTCCTGTTTGGAAGGAAATGTACCGGCATGTAGTGAATAAGAGCAAGAAGCGGAACCTGTTCCGGACCACTGAGGAATGCCCAAAGTCCCGCGAGTGTGACACTAAGGACGCCATTTTGGCAGCGGAGTCACTTAGGCAGATGCTCGTTTCGATGGATACCGAGGAGCCTGCGTGTGATTTCCTTTGTGAACATTCCCCAGAAGGCCCCGATGATTTGTGCTGCACGAAGTGCAGAACAGTCGTCGGAGAACAGGTGCCGTCATGTGCTCGCTTAACAGCGATGCCAAACATGGTTGGTATGGAGAAGTGGCTGGGTGACACTGGCACTGACCAGGACATCGTAGGTAAGGACTCTAAGACAGTCAACAGGGCCACCAAGATATTCAAATCCAACGAACCAATCTCCCTTACTACTGCCAATGGACCTATCACTGCTGACGAAGTAGTAGAGGTGATCTTGCCAGGGTTATGTGAATCCTTCAACCCCTACATTCTCCAAAGTACTCCCTCTGCACTTTCAATTGGTTTGAGGTGCTTAGAACAGGGATATGATTTTGTTTGGGGAAAGGACACTACTCCCATATTTCTTCGACCTGATGGACAATGCGTTAAATTCAAATTGCAAGGTAGGGTTCCATATATTGATGAAACATGTACCCCATTCTCAATTCCTGAATCACTGAGGACTCGCCTTACTAAGGTACTCGATTCCATCCACCAGTTCACCATCGACCAGGGCTACGCCATGGCCAGCCATGAGTCCGAACCCGAGGAAGACCAAGAGGAGGCTGACGAAGCTGGCGTAGATGCCAATGCCGATGATGGACAGGAGGACGAAGAGGACAGTGACCCAGAAGTTGAGGTTCCTTTTGATTTTGAAGACGTTCCCGTAGCAGGGGAGAAGACCGAAGAGCAACTTCGAAAGGAAGCAAAATCAGGGGCGCATCAATTCACACATCGACCAAAGAATCCCTACTGCGATGTTTGTAGCGAAGCTAAAATGCTTGCTCCCTACGGTAGAAGCGTAGGCGGATCACAACATGTTTTGGCGCGTGGGTTTGGCGACCACATAGTGTGCGACCATGTTATTCCCAAGGATATTGAAGAAGGGATAGAAGGCCAAACGTCAATGTTGGTGATCAAAGATGTTTATACTCAATACAGATGTGTTTATCCTTCAGAAAACAAAACAGCCGATTCCATTGTGAAAGCTTTTAAACATTTTCTGAAGACTTCTGATATTGTTGGCATAGTGTATACCGACAACGCTCCAGAAATGCTGGATGCCATAGAAGAACTTGGTTTCAAGCACCAGACTTCTGTTGAATATCAACATTCCACCAAAGCGGTTGTTGAGCGTGAAGTCCGCACCATTTTGGAAGGGGCGCGCTCCAACCTCCTCCAGGCCAACATGCCTCTTTCTTTGTGGCCTTATGCCTCCAAACATCATGCGATGGCCATAAACATTGTAAAACAATTGAGTGGTGGTGATCCACCATGGGCACTTCGCTTTGAAAACGGATTTCTTGGTAGGCAACTTCCTTTTGGATGTCTTCTGTTCTTTTGGGAAGGTAAGTACGAACCAAAGAGAGGAAAGTTTGCCCCCAATGCCAAGAGAGGCGTTTTCTTAGGATATAACATCCAGGCAGGACATGTTTG